GGCGATGTAAAACCCTTTGCCGTGCTTGCCCTTCTCGAGTGAGGTGCCTTTAACTCCAAGCCTTCCAACCTTCTCGAGGTTTTGCTCGTTAAGCTTGATAGGTTTCTTCGCCAACTCATTCCGGAGCTGAGTAGTCCTCGGGTCACTCAGACTCCTCATCAAATCTTTGTTCTTTCTCAGTGCCACGATCTCTTTACCAAGCTTAGGATTCATGCTCACGGTGCGGCCAAGAGCAGGGTTGCTCTCCAGCGTTTTGGCTGCGTTAGAACCCTTCCAAAAAAGCCCTTTCAGATTCTTGAAGTCCGGTGTTCTTTCCTCAGTCTCTTCGCCTCTTGAAACATCTTTCACCACAGTATCCTTCCGGAGGTTGCGGTATACATTTTTCATCTCGCTGAGTGGTCCGATGTGCAGATTCTTGGCCAGAACATCGCTCTCCGCATTGATGGCACCCACGTAAAATGCCGTGACGACTGCTAGTATCAGGAAGTAGCTCTGGCGCATTAGTTTAACGACGAAGCTAACACGTTGAAGATATATCAGTGAAATTAGGTAAATTCGAAAATGACCTCAAGCAACAGCAGAAGAGGAGGCAATTAATCGCTGGTGCTGCTTCGTTCTGTATCCAGATGTTTCTGCACTTCAAAGGACTTGTACAAGCAGAGCTGTACTAGCAGATTCGTCAAATTGGTATAGACGAACCTTTTCGCAGTGGATTTGAGATCAAATAGAGTTTCAGTAGTTTCAGAGTTAATTATGTAGAGCTGATGCTTCGTCCATACTACGTCCATGATTCGTCTAAGAGGAAAAATACTAAAGAATTCTTTCCGAAATGAATCTGCCCGGATTGCTGTATGGGGTACGATGAGAAGCTCTTACAGTTAACATAATATGTTAAACGACAGTATTGAGGTACTCGCAAGGAAGTCTACGCATTCAGCAGTTACATCCACATACTAAGCAGAAATGATATTTTGTTGAGGCACTCGAAATGTTACTTAAAAGAAGTCAACGTTAACATGAATTTACTAGTGATAGGCCAAAACCATATTTTTCTCGGAGGTCAATATTACATTCACTATTTTGAGATATAAATGGGCTATGTTGTAAACATACAGACGCTATGACTAGTGTCCAGCACACGTACATTTCCTCCGTCATCAAAAATCTATTTAAGCTTTAGAATATTTTTACTGCTCTGATGATCGGCAAAGTGGAACAATCTGACAGCATGAACAGCATTATGAATCTCGTCTGATCGAGGCAGGTAGTACTGGTTTTAGTCTAAGAATCTATATTTATTCTCTTACAATCAATAGCGCGTAGCTTAACTGGATTTTTTTTTACCGTCTCTGGATGGTTTTTCGTCGTGTCACGTCCCCTATATTCGTCTACTCGATTCGCTTGACCATTGGCCATTTGTTTTTGTGACGATCTTG